GACCGATTGGTGCATGGGGCGGAACCTGGATCCCTTTACGGCCCATATATCCGATATCATGAACTTCCTAGCACAGCTGTTCGAAGAGCGAAAATTGTATCGCACCATCAACGTGGTCAGATCCGCTATTTCGGCAGACCACGTGCCGTCTCAAGGAAGACCGGTAGGACAAGACTCCCTGATCTGTCGATTGCTACGGGGCATCAAGCTGAGACGACCTCCAACACCAAAATACCGACACCTATGGGACGTGGACGTAGTACTCCGTTTCCTAAGGGGATGGCCCCCTAACGAAATGCTATCACTAAAGCAATTGACAGCAAAATTCACCTTCCTGCTGTGCATGGTCTCCTTCCGTAGGGTATCGGATGTTAGGGCGTTCGACAAAGACGCATTCCATATTTCCCAGAGGACCAAATCGGATTCGTTATCGGTGTTTTACCCATTCTTCACCTCGGATCCCCAATTGTGCGTGGTCAAGGCCCTACGAGCTTATATGACAGCCACAGAGACATTACATTCACCAACAGCGAAACAATTGCTAGTCTCATATGTCAGTCAACATGGACCGGTGTCAGTAACCACACTAGCCAGATGGGTCAGATGGCTTCTTTCTCTAGCCGGAGTGGACTCGTCCTTTGGTGCACATTCCGTGCGGGGGGCAGCAGCATCAGCTCCCTTCTTAGCAGGCGCTTCATTAACAGACATCCTGCACACTGCTGACTGGTCACGCGAATCGACTTCTCGGACATTCTACTTTCGTCAATTGTCCAATGCTGCCTTCGCTGTTCTTCCTGAGCGTTAAAATTGCAAAATATGAATGTAGCGGAGCGGCAATAATAAATCCCACGATCTCTGCTGGTTCAGTCAAGCGCTGAAAAGCAAGGCAATATCCCAAATCTCCCAGTAACCGGATGAAACACAGTTCTGAGAGTCAACTGAAGGCTTTATTCACAGGCTCCACAATTTATACAATTCCCCATGCAAGGGGTTTCCTGAGTCCTATCCCAGGGGTATTCCCAGAGTGGACTACGACAGCTTCAACATGGATGCTGTCCAGGAGGTGGGAGGGTCTGGGAGGGAGGGTCTGCTGGAGATTGGCCGGTATGTGTCAGCTGACCGGAGCTCGCCGCAAACGGTTCGTGGCGAACCGTGGCGAGCCGTTCGCAGGAAGTTCGCGAACGGTTCGCGACATCTCTAATCATAATATAGACTTGTGATGTCGCAACTAGTCAAGAGGAAATGAATGACTAGGCTAGAACTTATATACTCTCTGACTCATGCTGATTGGTTCTTTCATTCAACTGTTTTTTTCTTTGCTGCTGTGGAGCTAGTAAAGAAAGTTAATGCAAAATATTCGCCTCCTGTCATTATTAAAATTAAGATTATCAGTACAGTGCGCTAGCATAATCTTCAATTATCCAATCCATAGCTGGTTACAGTACACAGGTTTCCTCCCCTTAGCGTGAGAGGTAACTTAATTATCTATACAGTTTAAGCACCCAATTTCCCCCAATTCCTGGATGTACCCCAAGACTATAACTTACACCCATAAATCACATATCCCATGATAGCCCTGATCTGGGTGAGCAACATACTGAAAAATCACCCAGATCGGTTCAAGGGTTCGTGAATTTCCTGGAGGTCTTCGTTTTACCGACCGCACACGAGGTGTTAGCCGAAGAGAGTTCCATGTGTTTTGGCCTTGCGGTCGGTCTCCGTTCGTGAGGTGAAAATCACGAAATTGTTTACTATACTCTGCCTGGGTTCGGGTGATTCTCCTGGTTCGTATAATTCCTTTCACCGAACGCCGTTCCGTTCGTATGTTTCCCCATGAATGGGTGGAAGTATGTAGGTCTCTGCAGTGTTCGCGTGGTCGAGTGTCCGATTTGGGTTCCAGACACTCGATGACCAAACACCGCTGGTGCGTTCATATGGAAACTGCCACTGCCACGTGTTTGTATGCCGAACGGTGGCCACCCAGGGAATACACAGTGCGTTCGGATAATTGTCAATTGAGGTAATGTGAAGAACGATAGGGGAGGTCAATTAGTGCCACGCTCAGCTCCAGGGTGGCCTGGTTGTTTGGTATTTTGTTTGTTTGTCGAATGGTACACTTCAGATGGTTCAAAGTAGATTTTTACTGAAAAACCAGACGAATGACACAACAGATAGGGGGTTACTTGGTTCTTTTACCAGCGTATTGAACTGTGGAGAATAGAGTAGAATACTTCAACAATTAGGCGTAGGGACAGCCAACAATACAATGATGAGTAGCAACACACAGTCCGCTACAGAGGGAACACTGGGCATTATTGGTGACAAAAGAATTTACCATATTTTAGTAGAAATTGACACTTTTATAAATTTTACTGGTTACACTCCCTGGCTTTTCAAGCAGACAACATGTCTTGTCACTTTCTGGTTTGGTTAGCTTTTTTGGACTGAACTGAAAAGGCAGCAATTGCTCAGAGCACCTGCCTTGCAAAGACTTCTCATTGAGCTGTATTGGGGAGTCTGTGACTGGACAGCCACAGAAAGTCTCGGTGGGATTATGAGAGGAGAGCTTGCAAAGGCGGCAAAAGAAGAGGTTTTGCAAGCTGTTTTTAGATATAACTCCAATGAAAAAATGTATTAGAGTTTTGCAAGTTTTAATCTGGGGTATGTCTACTAAACTGATTGATTTTTATTTATTTTGTATCTGGGCAGCAATGTGTCCTTTTAAGACATAACTTCATCACAGGGGTCAAACCCCCTGCCCCTCCTCCCCCTCTCCTATGTCCACATCTCAGACCCTTCTCCAACAAAATGATATGGACAGCAAAGGATCATGGGAGTTTAAGTTCTAAAAAAGCTGTACCTTTTGGTACATTGAAATAGTATCATCCTAGTAGTAATGTGGTTTAACTGCTAATACTTGCTCAAGGAAATACAGTAACTTGTTCTTCTTACTTTAGATGTGGAAATAGATTAATAAAATCTAGAAATAATTTGAATATCAGAGAGGGAGTGGGTGTTGAGGTTATAGTTTGAATACTCAGAATACAAGGCTATGGGGGGGCGGAGCCTGGAGCTGAACCTGAACGGAGGCACTAACAGAGAGCTCAGAATAATCGACGACAACCCGCTTCAATCCGAGGTACCAGGGTACCATCCGACGACCCAAACACCCACCCGAGTACCCCTGGAGCCCAAGGCACAGGCGAATGCCGTTCCAGTTCCCGCAAACGGGTAAAAAGACCCGGCGAAAATCTGGGGCCTACCTGACACTCCAAACCGCAAGGAGGCCGCAGCAATCGACGCTCGACACGGCACCTACCTCTTAAAGGACCCCGCGGAACTGGACGGCTACACAATGGGTCGCAGGTCCCAAAAGCCTCCATCAACCGCCGGCAGAGGCACCCAAGATATCGGCGACATGCTGCAGAGGCCAATGGCGCCCAAGATGGCGACCCCGGCGGAGCGCACGCCAGCCTCTCCAGACGAGGGGGAACAGCATGGGGCTGGATTAGAAATATCCACCGCTCCCCAAGCCACAGAGTCACTTGCCGGCCAAGACACACAAACCCTGGCTACCAAACAAGATATTGCCGACCTCCTGATGGAAATGAGGAGAATGCATGCAGCAGATATCAACCTAATAAAGACTGAAATGCAAGCGATGACCGCACGCACACGGGCCACAGAGGAGGACATCCTAGATCTCCAAAGAGAGGTGAGAGAGATAAAAGACACTTGTTACCATATGCAGGCCGCACAGTCCACCCTAATCACAAGACTGGACCAAACAGAAGACCGCAACAGACGTGCTAACCTAAAATTAAGGGGGATCCCAGACACCATAGACTCATCAGAACTACCCCACTACCTCAGACGTCTCATAGCGACGCTTCTGCCACCTGCTCAGGCAAAAAACTTGTATTGGACGGCTGTTTTAGAATCAGAAAAGCCAGACAAGCACCAACGGACGCCCCTCAAGATGTCATTATCCGATGTCACTCCGTGACCGACAAAATTAAGCTTCTCACGGCGGTCAGAGGGAAGACCCCGCTAACATTTGAAAACTCTCACGTTACCTTTTACCACATTACTATGGCGCAGATCCCTGGCCCCAGTCACAACTCAACTGAGAGAGGCAAAGCTTGAGTATAAATGGGCATTCCCAAGGTCCCTGACAGTGACCAAGGGGGGAGCCACGCACAGCCTCTCCTCGCTACAGGATGCAGAAACTTTCCTGAGGGCACTAGGGATGCCAGCTCTAACCCAAACAAGCGAGAACCCCACGACTCCACACACATGGAACCCAGAGACAGTAATCTCTTTCACTCCTAGGAACACTGAGAGAAGCGGAGCCCTAACCTGAACTGCCCCACTGCGCCAGACCTTCAACCTCCTATGTGTCCTCCACAGGCGCTGAGGAAGAGCTGTTCTGAACTGCATTAATGGTGGCCAGCGACTTTAATACATTAACCAGACACTGCCTCCTCTTTAGGGCTTTGCATGCCGACTCACCTACTGTTTTACCCTATGCTTGTTTTTTATGGTTTTTATGTTTTGGTGTTTTGTTATTGGTTTTCAGCACGATATTACTACACACACACTCGACAAGTATAGCTTACGCTATACCATAACTGTGACTGACCGCCATCAGCCATGACTTACTTGGACAAAGAACACCACAAGCTCCGGGGAGAATATACCTTCTCCCACCCCCGCGACTTCCTCGGTAAGAAGTCAAAACCTCAACCCATCGATAGACCACAAAGATTCAACGGGCTCCATGAGCGATAACGCTTGCCCCACGCACACACGCTGACATAAACAGACATCATATAATTCACTCGCAGATACGAACAACACTAAGGACAGCCATGCGCACACACACGCAAACCCAACACGGAACACATTAAGGGGTACAAACACGCTGACAACTACCTCCGGACTGACAACCTTCAGATACCCACACCCCGAATTACCATGATCCTGGAACTCGAGGGGGAATGACATACACTGCAAATACACTCCATGGAGGCCTTAGTTCCACACTAGTTGACTTGTAAAAATAAAAATAAAAGGTGCAGATCTAGCTGACATTACAACTTGGAACTGACAGACAAAAGTATGCCTTAACTATGTTGTGAAGTCCTGTAACAACCATCACCCGCAAGGCTGTTGTGGCCAGGCGGGCTGTTTTGTACTTAACAATGCACACAAAAATAAAGAATAAAAAAAAAAAAAAGAATACAGGGCTATGAAATATGTTACCAATTTATAATATACTAATCATTATATCATGTTACTAAACATTTCTAAAACGTAATTTTTCAAACATGCATTTCTCATTTAAAGCACCATAACCACAATAGCCAATAATGCCAGGAGTGCCCTGGCATCCTCCCAGGGTAAGTAGTCAAACTACTTGAGAGGTCTGGCAACTTTCCTTGGATTTGTTGTGCACCTCCTCCTCTGGATCCAAAAGTTCAGCCAATGAGCACCTCCCTGCACTGCAGAACTACTGGCTTGATGAAGAGCGGGTGGCAGTGGGAGCCCAGCACACTTCAGGTAAGTTCTCAAACCATTCGCAAACAGTTTTAATACTTATTCTGGGGGGGGGGGAGCTCGGCTTTAGTGGTTATGGTGTTTGCAGTATTTCTTGACATATGTGAAATGCAGTAATTGGGTTAATTAGTTGATTATCTTTAAAATATTAAAATTGAGTAAGTTAATCGACATTTAAAACTCACATAGCTTTTCTTCCAACTATCAAGCTTTTTCCAGTAAAAGATCACAAGGAGTTATATTTCTGGTGTCATGTGACCAGACCACTTCCTTAATGCCGGGCTCATATGGAAAATACAAGATTACAGTAATGTGACTAAACATTTGGCATTTTCATAAACAGGAATATTTGATTTGAAATATTTTCTAATCTATATATTCCCCTGGGGTTTTGAGTGTTGCTTTCCTAGAAATTGCACTGATTATAGCTTACCATTAAAACTGGAGTGACTAAAACAGGAAGTGCATAAAAGAATTAAAAAAATAAAATATTGCAATATAATTTTTTTTTTTCCTCCTAGAGATGATACAAACTTTCTTTGCTTCTGGAGACACGAATCTGCTCGAAAAGTTACTGTTGCCAGATGTGCAGATGTTTAACTGTAGCTTGCTGCTGATATCCGTATAAACCTCACAGCAGCCTTCCTACATCAGAAAAGAAGAAGAAGAAAAAAAACTAACTTCATAGGTTAGGGTTAGTTATTACATTTAGCAAACAGATGTGCATGAAAATTTTTTTTTAAAAAAAATAACATTTTTAATATTATAAATAATTCCATCTGCAAGGTCACAATAACATACATCCCTCCAGAGTGTGTGGGGAACTGCACTCACTCCCATCAGCCTGAGCCAGGGTGCTTAGCTGTATCAGAACCAAACACCAGGTTCCCATAGAAATAGTTTAACAAAGGAAAGAGGTCCAGGCACTCCTTGGTTCAAAAATAGGCAATTTTAATGGAACCACAGCAACGTTTTGACCTTCTCAAGCTTGATTAAGACAGAGAAGGTCAAAATGGTGCTGTGGTTCCATTAAAATTGCCTTAAACCAAGGAGTGCCTGGACCTCTTTCCTTTGTTATAATAACATACATCCCAACTGTCCTGCTTTTAGGCCCACACCACATCCCTCTGTCCCTCTTTTCTATTCTACTGTCCCTCTTTTGTAGGACCTCCATATTCGTGGCTTGTCTGAATTTATACAAGCGTTCCACAGCAATAACACTCACAGTATTACAAGTTAGTCTGTATAAATTAGATGCATTGTTCTTGTTCTTAATTTTATTTTGGTTGCATAAATTGTCCTTAGTAAGTGATATATACAAATCGCCCCACAGATTGGATATTGGCACCTGAAACTCACAACTTGGTCATCCCGAGACAGAGCTGCCCAGTGATTCTGGAGCTTTCTCTATTTTAGTGAAATATTTACTAACCAGGCAACTGGACTGTATGCAACCTGATGGCAGTAGGTATTTTATAGAATTAATGGAACTTTACTTGCGGAGAAACTACTCCTGTAAACAACTCTTAGAGAGTGGTTTATGGGAAACAAATAGTCTCCACAGACCAAGGGTTTTTTGTTTTTTTTCTTGGAGCATCTTTCTTGTAAAGGAGGAGTATGTCTGTAGCTTTAGGCAGACCCTCTTTATTGCACGTGTGGGGAACTTCAGTGTCTTTTTTTTTTGTGATAAATTCTTTATTTATAGAATTTTCTATACATTACCACACAAATATAATAACTGTTTGATCAGTAGAACCAGTATCATTAAAATGGTCAGATACATATGAATATACAAAATAAAGAAGAAAAAAATACAATAACATTTCCACCAAGAGGTCCATGGAAAACACCCTATGGCAAGCATGTCAAACTCAAAGTCTGGCATGGGCCACATAAACGAGGTTTAAGTTTATGTAGGCCGCAAAAAAACCAAAAACCTTAAATTTTTAGAGAAACGTAGGTTTATTTTAAAAAGTACAGTATAAAAAAAAACCCTAGCACCTCTCTCTACTAAACCACAGCACCCCTCTCTACTAAATCCCAGTCCCCCCTCTACTAAGCCACAGCACCCCCCTCTACCACCCTGTGCCAAATCTGATACTCTCGCTGACACACACACATATTCACTGACAGACAGACAGACACACAGACACACACATACTCACAGACACACACACAAACACTGACAGACACACACACATACTCACTGACAGACGACACACTCACTGACAGACAGACACACACTCACTGACAGACACACTCACAGACAGACACACACTCACTGACACACACTAACAGAAACACTCACACACTTACACATTTTTGCACACACATACTTTTCTTTATTGCTCCCTACCTTTTGGAGCCGATGTGGGGCATCTCCCTGGGGTCCTTCTATCTGCTCGTCACTGCTCCCTCACGCGGTTTAGTGATGCCTGGTGCCGGAATATGACATCATATTCTGGCGCCCGGCTTCACTACAGACGGCACGCGTGAGTGAGCAGTGAAGAGCAGGAACCCTGAGCTCCCTCGCTGGCCCTCCTCCACGGCCGGGTAAGTGTTAGCAGAGTAGTCCCTTGCAATGTGGGGAAAGCAGGTGCCTTCTCTGCTATAACACTAAGCGTGCACTCGCGGCTCGCCGGGCCGCAAAGATGTTCCTTGTGGGCCGCGGGTTTGACATGCTTGCCCTATGGAATAAGTTGATGTATCCATGATGAATAAATGTTGCATAGAGTCCTGTAGCTAAGCTGTGAGTTCCATGTCACTGACCTCGGACAGCATATAGTGAAGTTTGATATAGAATGGCAGGATTGGGTGATTCCAATGTTCTTCTGGCTGCCAGACCACTTTAGAAAGAAGCTTAATTTCAGGCCTGGAGAGGAGGAAATAAAATCCATAGATTGGTTTATCCAAAGCTTAATGCCACCTGTGTCCAATACGGTTGAAGTACATCACTGATGATATGTCCCAGTCTGGCTGCAACCCCTCTAGCATCTATTATATGTGACAACCTTCATTTGATATAAACGCATGGGTACAATGTACCATCTGAGAAGAGTTTATATGTGTATCCCAGTGGTGGGTGGGTGCCAGACTTCTCCCACAGAATTTGACTAAGACAAATGGAGGGTCTGGGGGGAATGAGACACAAGGAGAGGCTAGGGGGGAATGGGATAAAAGGAGGGGCTGGATTGGAATGAGACACAAGGAGAGGCTGGGGGGAATGAGACAAAAGGTGGGGCTGCAGGAGAATGAGACACGTGGAGGGACCGGGGAGGATTGAGACACACAGGTGTGGGTGGAAGTACACAAAGGATGCTTATTGGTGCAGCGTTTTTCCATGCATGAGTTTGATGATCATATCCAAAGTGAAGAGCATACTCATAGGAATTAAAGGGACAGTACATTCACCAGAACAACTACAGCTTTTTTGCATTTGTTCTGGTGAGTAGAATCATTCCCTTCAGGCTTTCTGCTGTAAACACTGTCTTTTCAGAGAAAATGCAGTGTTTACATTACAGCCTAGTGATAACTAGTGATGTCGCGAACCCGAAATTTTCGGTTCGCGAACGGCGAACGCGAACTTCCGCAAATGTTCGCGAACCGGCGAACCGCCCAAAACGCCATTGACTTCAATGGGGAGGCGAATTTTAAAACACACAGGGACTCTTTCTGGCCACAATAGGGATGGAAAAGTTGTTTCAAGGGGACTAACACCTGGACTGTGTCATGCCGGAGGGGGATCCATGGCAAAACTCCCATGGAAAATTACACAGTTGATACAGAGTCTGGTTTTAATCCATAAAGGGCAGAAATCACCTAACATTCCTAAATCACAATGAATATGGATTGACACCTGACATATGACATATTGACACCTTGACATATGGATTGACACCTGTCCTCAGAGCCCCTGATGCACACGGACACAGAGCAGAATAGAGACTGGTCCCCTACATAGGGTCACTTGGCAGATATGGATTGACACCTGTCCTAAGGATCCCTGATACACACTGACACAGAGCAGAATAGGGACTGTTCCCCCTGCATCGGGTCACTTGGCAGATATGGATTGACACCTGTCCTAAGGTTCCCTGATACACACTGACACAGAGCAGAATAGGGACTGGTCCCCCTACATCGGGTCACTTGGCAGATATGGATTGACACCTTGTTACAAACTGCTATTTGTAACGGGCCCTTTAAATGGCAAATTGCCCTGTTTCCCTGGGTTGTGGAGAAGCCTCTTTGCCAGCCTCCTCCCGCATGACTATGGCCCCTGGGAGATTGTGAAAATGTATGCACTTTTATTTGGTGTGTATGGCCCTTTAAGACTGTCGGTGGGCATATTGGGGCTTATGGACTCTTTATGTGACTGGTGCTGGCCCTTTAAACACCTTTTTTGGGACATCAGGAAGATTGGGACACTGCCCCTTTAAGGCCGTGTCCCCAGACTTGTTGGGGACACGGCCCCTTTAAGACGGTGTCCCCTGTGTCCCCAGACCTGGTGCAAACCCTTTGTGCCTGCCTGGCTATTTCCCACTTGGTTCAGTAAATGGGAAATTATTTCAGCTGCAGAGACTAGTCCCATTCGCGATGGGACTTAGTCTTTTTCAGCCGCTTTTCAGCCTTATTTCAGCTGCAGAGACTAAGTCCCATGGCGATGGGACTT